CGCCCCCACCCCCACCCGCCCCTCCACCCCCACGCCCCAGCAGCCCCCCTCCGCCCCCTGGTGCCCGCGAGCGTGCGGCACCGGGTGGGGGACGCGTAGACAAGCTAGGGCTCCGCGGCGGTGGTGCGCTCGCTCTGCGCTGGGGGGGCGCTGGGGCCCGGCGCCTTCCTGGACTTCTCGAGTGGGGCGGAGCGGCCGCCTCTGCCGCCGCCAGTCGGAAGGCGAGGGGCAGAGGGACTTCCAAACTCTCCCGCCCTTTCCTCTCCGCCCCATCTTGGCCCCGGCCCTTGGAGACATTGAAGTGTGGCGCTCGGGTGTCACTATTTCTTCCGGCTGCTACGCGGTGCACGGATTCAGCGCTGCCAGTGCGGCTTCCCGCGGTGTGCGCGGTTGCGTGCGACCCCCAGCCCGGCACACCTCAGTGCACGATGAGGAAAGGTCTGCGGTCGACGGCGGCCCGCTGCGGGCTGGGACTGGGGTACGTGCTGCCGATGTTCGTGCTACCTGCCCTGGCCTTGCTGAGCGCCAGCGGCACCGGCTCCGCCGCTCCAGGTAAGGGGTCCGCCGAGCCTGGCGGCCACCGCCGCTTCTCTCCTCCTCCCGCCTCTCGCCTCGAACCCACTTCTGGCTGTCTTAATTTCGCTTGTTGAGTCATTGGGAAATCACTTTACATTCCACTTTCCCAACTATTCAACAATCTTTGGTGAACATTTTTAATGCGATGTGAGCACGGAGGGACTCGGGGCGTGGATACGCATCTGTCTCTGGGTGTGTGGGTGACTTGGGTGCCTTTTGCACTTTCTGCTCCCCTCGTACACAAAGTGTTGCTTAGCGCACACATAAAGGTTTGAAGAAAAACTCAGTGCGGTAGCTGTGTGACTCGTCGTGGATGTCTCCCGATGCGCAGAGACCCCCGGCCTTGCGCCGCGTCTGGGGTTGCGAGATCTTTCAGTAACTGAGCTTGCCCATCGCCAAGGGGTGCCCAACTGGAGAAATTGTCCATTATGGCCAGGGATCCCCCAGTGTGGGTGCCCCACGGCCGCTGCGCTGGGTTCTGTGGACAGACCGAGCTCGCCCAGCCCGCGACCCAGCCTTCTGCAGGCTCTGGGTGTGCCGCCTCACACCCTCTTCTCAGTCCCGCCGAGTGGTGGAGGAACTTAAAATCGCAGCGCTCTGAGGAAACCGACCAGTGGTTCAAATCAAACCCGAAACTCCCCTGGGTAGCCCACCGGTATATCATTCTGACGTTTCAGTTTAATGCAGTTGAGCTGGGCCGAATTGACATTGGGGAGAGGAACTGTCAGGAGTTAAGGTTAGGTAATGAAGGGGGAAGACGTGGGGCTGACCTCCGAGCAAGCCCCCTGTCCCGGAGTTTGAAGTAGTGGCGGCAGCAGCCTCTGGAGCTCGGGCAGATGAGGGTAAAGGAGACAGACAGCCCACGCTGTTGTCTCCTCGGGGGTTTCTTTTGGGTCACCTGAGTCCCTACCTTTTGGCCAGACAAGCGCCCATCTGGGTCTTTGCTCCCCAAACTGGAAAGGCACGAAACCAAGATGATGAAATCCCTACATCACCTCAGAAAGCTGCGAAAAGCTTCCTCCATCCCCACCCCCGGGTGAAACTGAGCTGCTACCCGCCCCCCCTTGAGTCAGGGGCCACCACAACTGGACGAAAAGACCCAGGTGGGCGCTGGTAGATGCAAATAGGCGTGACGGCAAGAGCCTCAACACCCGGGGTGGTGCGCAGACTGTGGAGGTTACCTCTCGTTAAGACTCGGGCACTGAGCTTGGAGGTGGGCGGGGGCTGTAGGTCAGTGGAGGTGAAAGCGAGCTCTGAACTGGGGTGAGTGCAGTCTGGGTGCGGAGGTAAGTGATTAGCGAGGCTTTGTGAATTAGGGATAGTTACTTAGGGAGTCAATTTTTCTGCTGCCTGGCTAAGAAGCCATGCTCATAAATCGTTCCTTCCTTTCTTGCCAGACGCCGCCCACCCAGAGCTTTTGACTTAGTATTCTGATACTTCCAGAGCTCATCTATCTATTTACAAAAGGATATCCATTCGGAATCACTGGGTCTTTTAGATTTATGGAAATTGGTAGAACTTCCAGGGCAGTAGCTCCTGGTGCTGAGAGGACGATGCTTACAAGTTGAAGTGAGCAACCTGATGAATAGTGGTGTCATCAGTGGTGTGACTCGGGAATCCGCCTGCTGTTATTGGGCACACAAAGGACTGGGATGGTGTGGGGAAGCACCAGGTGAAGTGTTTGAAAAAAAGGACAAGTTAAAGTCTTTCAAGATTCCCAAACAAGAGATTAGAGGATCCCCAACGAGAGTTTATGACTGCCCAATTAAATACACTAAGTAGGCAAAAGGATCAATCAGGAGTCTGTAAGTGAATTAATATTGAAAGAAAAAGAGACAAGGAATGAGAAGAAAGGGCGTTCCAGATAGGCTGAGCATTTTGCAATTGTACTTTTTTCTTCTCAAAGATCAGGAAAAAAATGAGGATTGAACTTGCTCTTCTGATGTTAAGTGGAGAAATATCTTCTGTTGGGTGTGTGTTTCTCAGTACTATGACCCATTTAACTTATTTAGTTGTTTTAGTTCTTGGTGAGTAACATAGTTCCTGTTTATGTTTGAGTCTTAAGGACTTTGAGAGACACTAGTTCACTACTTTCATCTTTGTTATCCTCTATTGATGTCTACATACTGCATCTTCTTGTGTTATCTATTCGGTAACAAAAACCCAGAAAACAGTAAAGTCAGTTATCAGTTACTATCACCCAAACTCTAATCTACTCCCCCAGCCTGTTTACTAGTGAACCTCTATTACACTGTCTTCTCAGTCACGTTTATAATGTTCTGACACACCTCTTTTCTCATATAATTTCTTTTCCTTTCTCTTCTCTCTTTGGTCTAGGGAAATAAAAGATGCTGACGCTCCCTCAAGGTATGATTCCCATTTGCAGAGGACTTAAAGAAGGGAACAAACTATTTTATGCATGGAACTCCTATGCAATTAGAAGAAAAAGTGCATTTAAGCACTTTGAAGTGTGGATGAGGTTTTATTCCCTTGTTAGAAAAGTACTAAAATTAGAAGTTACAAAATATGTATCTCTTCTGAAGTAGACAAGAAAACAATAGATGTTTATATAAAATAACATAATGGGTATTATTTATGAGTACATTGCTTTTTGTAACTCGTTTAAAGAGAGCCCTTATTTAAACAGGTCCTTGGGAATTTCGCTAGGCTTTAGACAACAACTTTCTCTTTTCTGGTTATGCTCTAATTGTATCATTCAGGATGCTGGGAACTCCTAACTCCAGGGAATTTGTGGTTTTTCTGACCTCCAAGAATGAAAGATATTACTAGGAAAGAGGAGCCTATGTTTGTGTGTGTGCTAGGTGTGTGTGTGTTTGTTCATTTGACTACTGTGCTTCTGAATTAGTGCCACTCTGTTTTATAAATGCATTTTTAATTCTAGGCTATACGGCACAGATGAGCTGTTTATCTAGCACCAACTAGGGTTCTGTCACCAAATTCAGAAAATTACTAAAGACTCCAATCATATTGGGGTAACTTATTTTATGGCAAGTTAGTTTATAATGCCTTTTTAATATAAATAAAATATTCTTCCTACTAAAGGGTAAAATTTACTTCCACATGTTTATGCATATTGGTGTGGTAGAAATAGTCAACTGGCAAGAAAAAATATATAGCTGAATATCTTTAAATGTGCCTTATATTTTTCCATTTTAAGAGCAGAGTAAATCCATAAATTCACATTTGCAATTTTCAGTATGAGAAAGTATGCTAGTTTACTTTTGTTTAGAAAAGCAATTCCATGTAGTCTAGTTTAGGGAATGCATAAAAGACTTCAGAAAATGAACTTTTCAAGTACTTCTAATGAATAAGGAACCATTAGGTTGTTAACATTTATTGACTTCCTGGTCTTCTGTGTTCTGATTACTGGGTGATTCAGAGTTTAAAAGAGAAGTTCCTGGAGCATCTTGCAGTGCAGTCTGCGAGCTAGCTGGGTGTCCTAATCAGAATTCATACTGGTCTTTTTTAAGCAAACTGTTTAAAGACATGAAAGAGGCATAAGTTATATTAGGCGGACACTCTTAGCTTATTTAGAATTATATTTGAGACTTTAAAATAACCACTGATCTCTAATGTATACTAGGTTTTCCAATTAGTGCAGAGAGAAGAGTGTGCTTTATTAAACCCCACCTGCATTTAGCAGTTTCTGATTTAGGTCGTAGGCTTCCTGGAGTAGCAGAGGGATTCACTCTCAGAAGAAATATTAAAATTAATGACTGCAATCACTTCAAAAAGATAATGAAAACAGTGTGAGGTGGGGATTGAGTCAACCCTTTTGTCTTATAGTTTCAGTCCGTGTTTTTTATTTTTTAGTTTGAATTTTGTATTTGTAGCAGTTAAAAGTTAAAAAATATGTTCCCATTCCCCCACAAATTGGAAATGTACTTGCTCATTTGGATAGCATATAATATTTAGTTCTTCACAATTTTCTGCTAGTATGTCCCAGACAAGGTGCAAACAGAATTGAAGGAAACTCTTGTATCCCTCTGGAAGGTAGACTTAAAATCAAATGATCATCATTCGCTCTCTGAAATACAACAGTGGGCCTAAGTCTGGATTCAGACTTACAAAGAAAGTAAACTTAGGTTTAGTGTTAGTGGTGGTGTGAGTGTGGTTTCTAAATGTCTATGCACAGAAACTTAAGGTTGACAATTTGGTTGGAAAGGGATGTTTTCACAGACAGGTTTCACAAATGCCTTGTTTACATTGATTCTTACTCACATTTAATGTCTTTGGTATGACTTTGGAGAGGCACAAGCTAAAGACTGTTAGTGGGGTTTTACCATCTGCTAGTTAGCTTAGCAATTAGTAATGTCTCATAATCCTGCCTCCATCATCTTCTGCTAATTGGTCATTGGTGTGTCATTTAGCTTTCTTTTGTATGCCATATATACTTTTCTCGTTTGGAAAATGATGGTAATGTTAGTCATATTTGTATTGAATTAATACCTGAAGATCAACACAAAGTATTTCGGGAAGTGTTCTTTGGCTTCTATCTCTGTAAACCCTTGACAAAGATGTAGAATCTGAACTAAAGGTCAAGAACTTTGAACTTTAAGTGTGAATAGCTATACACATGGCTACCCGAAAGGCAACAGATACAACTATCAGAGGAGGTGCTCCACATTTATCATTACAAACCCCTGGATATTTATTTAATTGATGGAATAGCCCATGGAAAGAAGCTATCTCATTTCATAGCCTTATTTCTTCCTTTCTGTTCTGTTTTAGAAAAGTAACTAATTGCAGTTCTAAAAATGCCATGTTCAGTCACTGCAAATTAAATCCTGTCTACAAACTATCTTTGACTTCCTGTCATTAGCATACATATTGAAAGATAATTTCATAAATCCATAAATATGGAAAAACATCCCAAGTCCCAGGATTACAAATAAGGGTTTGAAGGAAATTAGCCTTTATGCAAATGTCAATAGTCTTTCTTAAAAAAAGAAATG